ACAATAAAAATAAAAAATACAGAAAAATATTATTTTACAACTTGAAATTTCAGAAACAGCGATCTTTCTAGTAGTAGAAGTAGTCAATAGTAAAGGCTTAATAACTTGCGGCTAAGTTAATATAAAAGTTTTAAAATTATATTAGATAATTTAATAAGTGATAAAATAATAATAAAAAATAAAATAAAAATAACTTACTTCATTTGGAATATTAACTTGCAGCTAATATATAAAAAAGTTTATAAAATTATATAATATAATTTAATAAGAGATAGAATAATAATAAAAAATAAAATAACAATAACTTACTTTCTTTGGAATATTATTCTTTCTTTTTTTATTTTGTAATGCAACATTTTTTGGTAAAGCTAATGTAAATGATGTTAATGCAGACAATGTTGATACTGATATAGCTGTGGATAATGTTAATGTAAACGACAATTCTGAAGCAGATGTGGTTGATAATCTACATTCTTTAGGATATTACAAAGTATTAAAGTTTAAAAAAATATCAGAACTGTTTTTTTGTTTTTTTATACATTAAGTTTCTAATTTAAGTGATAAAGTTATAAAAATAAAGAAAAAAAAATTCTTTATTTATAAAAGAAATCTTTGCTAAATAATATAATTACACAATAGTATTAAATATTAAAATTGTATAAATTAATAACCAACATAATAACTGACCTATTAACTAATATATTAGCTGATTACCTTAATAATTACATCATTTTAACATTTTATAATAGAGATTTATTAATGCAACTAAAAACTTGAATAAAATTAAGTAAATAATTTAAAAATTTATTTACTACAAATAATTACATATATATAACAATAGGGTTTTTCTAGGCATCTTTGGCTAGAGATATATAAGTTATATATCTCTGGCTATTGGCCAATCAAAATGTCAAAAAATCATGTGATCAAATCATATGATAAAATGGCACTACATACAATATTTCTGAGGTCAGATTGGAAACTTGGATCGAAAACCAAATCAGAACTTTATTTATTATAAATCCTAATACTAAACCAATTAAATTGTAAATTAAACACAAGGATTTAAAAAGTTCTATCCTATAATCAGAGAAAATAATTCTTAAACATGCCCAAACCCTAACTATTATAGTAATTTAAAATTTACAAAGTTAGCTTATATTGAAACAATTATGATTTCTATAACAATTTATTATAAAAAATTCTATTGCTGCATTTACCAACTATTGTAATAATGTAAGTGATTGAAACAATCATAATTTCTATAGTGGTTTGCTGCAAAAATTCTTTACTAAATTTGCTAACTACATATTGTGATGATATGAGCAATTTAGATAGAGTTATGTTAATTTGAATTGGAATTATCATATAAAAAATTCTATTAATTTACTTACCAACTATTGTGATCTAATTTCTATAGTGATTAGCCATGAAAAAAAAATATTTTAACATACTTACCAACTATTGTGGTAACAAAAGATTTAGACAGGTATATGTTAGTTTGTATTGAAGTAATCATGATTTCATGATTTACTGTAAGAAAAAAATACTTACCAGCTATTGTAGTAACTTAAGCGATTTAAACAGAGTTATGGTAAATTCTGTTACTGTATTTGCTAACAATTGTGGGAACATAAGATATTAAAATAGTGTTATATTAGTTAGTTGTATTGGAATAATCATGGTTTCTATAGTGTTCTACTCAGTGTTTCGGGTGAAACCCAATTTTGCAGATCAAATTTGCGAACCCAGTTTCAGAGAGTTTTTGACTTATAGAGCTAAACTAAAATTCTTCTGGGCGAAATGTTTCAGATTTGGAAAATAATTTAGCCTGAAACACTGGCTCTACCATAAAAAATGAATACTTTATGTTCATTCTTCTCAACTCCAATTCATCAAAATAACATCAATTCTTAGCTTGATTATAAGTCTATTAAACTTCTCACCTCTGCAGATTTGATAATAGATAAATGCTTATGTTGGTCCTTTTCAACTCTAATTTCATTAAAATAAACAACAATTCTAATCTTGACTTATGTTTTATCAGCATTCTCTATCTCTATAAATTTTTTGAAATGAATAAATACCTTATATTCATCCTCCGTCAACTTCAATTTCTTTGTTATAACAATATCCAACACTAAACATTCCACTATCATCATCCATCTCTACTGATTTTTGATAATAGATTAGTGCCTTATGTTCATTCTTTTCAACTCCTATTCCATTAAAATAATATCAATCTTACCGGGACTATATATCCATTAGCATTCTCTATATCTACAGATTTTTTAAAAATAAAGGTCTTATATTCATTCTTTTCAACTTCAATTCCTTTGTCTAGGGTTGTTAATAAATTTGGTTGGGTTGAATTATTTCTCAACCCACTCCAACTTTGGTTGGGCTCACTCTGGAGCCACTCTAGTTCACTCTATCATATCTTTAAAAATCTTTAGTTTAAACTAAACACGTGATACAAACATATGAATTTGATGAGAGATCACTCCAACTCACTCTAGAGCTGCTCTGGAGTACGCTACTCCATTAACAACCCTACCTTCTTCATAACAAGATCCAACATTACATGCTTCACTATCGTTACTTATTTTTGCTAATTTTTGATAATAGATAAGTGCTTTATGTTCATTCTTCTCAAATTCAATTTAATATCAATTTTTACCTAGATTATGTCAATTAGCATTCATTATCTCTGCGGATCTTTTGAAAATAAATGAATGTTTATACTCATCTTTTTTAACACCAATTCCTTTTTTTTTTTGATACTATATAAATACTTTATGTTTATTCTTCTCAACTTCTATTTGTCAAAATAACATCTATTCTTACCTGGATTATATGCCATAAGCATTCCCTATCTTCAGATTTTTTAAAAATGAATAAGTTTATTCTTTCATCATTATAACAAGATTCAATACTAAATGTTCTACTAATATTATTCATCTCTGCTAATTTTTGAAGAATAATGAATATTTATGTTCATCTTTTGAACTTCAATTTCATTAAAATAATATCAACTCTTACCTGGACTATATGTCTATTAGTATTACTCATCTCTACTGATTTTTGACAGTATATGAACGTTTATGTTTATTCTTTTTAACACCAACTTCATTTCGTAACGATGTTCAACCTATTAAGATTTGAGGAAATCAGTATAGTATTCCTGCAAAATGTATCTGCTAATACTCTTTCTCTTTCCAATCTAAGATTATTGTTAAAGGAATTAACATGGTTGCTATAAAATACACTAAAGTCACAGATTCAGAAATAATTTTATATGCACAACCAAATAAATTTAAATAGTAAATATCATAAAGGTGAATAGCTTATTTTAATATTTAGGTTAATGAAAATGTTCCTTATACTTACACACTAATTGTCACAAATAAAACAAATTAAATAGCGAATATTCACTACTTCCTAAATACATGTCCTATGAAATATATGTCTTCACTTGGCCCAACTAATATTATGCCTCCTTGAATGCAAAACCTCTTAAGTACACATTTGGCTAAATTTTTACATATGGTTCTGTGCATTGCATCTAGAGAGGTCTAACTATATTTAATAATAAATCTAAAAGGTAAGTAATTTATTTTTGATAATTATGAACTAACACTAATTATACAAAATAAAATTAAACAGCAAATATTCATTTGTTATTGTAATAGTATCTGATTATAGTGCATTGCACTGCATGCAATTGTGTAACAGTATGGTAATGCAAGATAAGATCGTTCGACCTGGTATCGGCAATCAGATTAATATATGAATACCTAGTCATGTAATTTTCTTGTTATTTGATTAGCCCAAAAGGCCAGAGATATATTAGCTATATATTTCTGGCCAGAGATGCCTAAAAAACCCATAACAATATATGAATTCTTATATAGCATTTCTTCGCATACCTTCCATATTTTAAATATATATAATTTTTTTCGCTATAAAAATATGAAGTTCTATATAGTGTAGTAGCATTGTTATCACCTTTGAGACTTAAGCGATTATGAATTTTAAAAATAATGTGTATACAGAATAAGACTAATATATATAAAAAAAAGTTTTAATTAATGTTTATTTGATGAAATATTAAAAATTTGACCAACAAATTATTGTATACCTTGAAGAGATCTCAGGCTTCATTTTAAATTGTTCAACAATTGCTATAATGAAATTACAATTCCTAGTATTTAAATTCATTATGTTGTATTGGGTAGAATAATATAAATTTATTCAATGTTTTACTATGTTCACACTATAGTATTTTCAGTGTTATTAATCACTGCTTTTATCGCTAAAATTTTAACAATATTTTGGTTACTAATTATTTCCCCAAAATAAAATAGTAATATTCCTAAAAATGATACTATTATATCTCCTCATATTTACTTTGCCGATGAGATATAATTTTTATCTGTATAAAAGATATAGTTAGATCTTGTATTACTTAAAATTGGTTTGAACTGGGAATAATATAAGCTTCAGCACTACACAAAATTGTCTTGAACTAGAACTGTATTAGAGCAAAATCTTCTATATATGCATACATTTTCTAAATACACCAAACTCTTCAAATATATACGTGACCCTTCTAAGTGCATATTATTAAATTTTGGCTTCAAGAGCGTACACTTATAGATATTATAATTTTTGAACAAGAAATAGTATGCAGTAGTTAGATTTGCATATATAAAATTGTCTTTAGTCAGAAAATAGCTTTTTATTATTATTACATAGGTTTTTAACCATATAAGATTTCTTTGAATAAAATAGTATTAAATTTTACATTATAGAATTTTTAGCAGTAAAGCGAAGTTAATTTTTTAAATAATTAAAGTTTAATAGCAAATTAAGCATCTAATTATCTTTATTTATATTATTGGATACATGGATTTAAAATTACTACAGCAATATTGATATTATTTTTGAAATGTAAATTTAATATCTACATTACAATTCTTACAATTCTCTAATAAAATTCAAGATATTTCAAAGGTTGAATTAGTCTCCATATTTGAGCAAATTTCTTGATCCTTATCAATAATTTGAACACCAGAAAAATCATTATCATTAATAGTAGTAGGTGATTTGAATGGAATGCGAAATGGCTTAGATGTATCAAATGGTGTAAATTTTCTTTTTGTTAGAACACTTTTCTGTCTAATTGGACCTGATACTTGATTTGTTGAAAGTGGTACAAAGGATAACATGAAACAATTTGGTTAGTTGAGGATTTAATATCTAATGCTAAATAAATAAACTTGTGAGAATTTTATAAATTATAAATAAACAAATAAGATATATAAATTAGAATTTACTTGAATCAGTAGTAGTAATATTTTTATTTTGATCTTGTTCTGCCAATGGAATTATTATAGAGACTGTATTATGCATAATTTCATGAGTAAAAGTTTGATATGATGAAACACCACCAGGGGATCGATGCCTACTAAAAGCCATGATATGGTCAGTAGCCACATTTAATTGTGTAAAAATTTGGATTGATGTTCACCTTAAGGAATGATTTGTAATTTTTTTTAAGTTGGTATCAATTCCTGTAACACATATATTGTAAATCATTTTTTCATGTGAATGACATTCTAATGCCGCATCATGAAATCAAATTCCATATTTAAAATCTAAAAAAAAATAAAAATTACTAACAAAAAACTTGTTAAAACTTAATATTAGATAAGATCTTACAAAATATACATATTACCTTTGTTAGGCACAATTTTTAAAAAAAATCCTTTTATTTGAAATTTTGTTGATGATGATACATGTAATATAAAATATCAGCTACAGGTGTGAATTTACCATTCATATCAGGCAGAATTTCACAATTTCTACCAGCATTAGTTAAGTTTTTTAAACCTCTAGCATGATTTTTTTCTCAGGATATAGTTAATTGAATTGTTTTTCCATGAGTTGATTTCACATGATTATATTTTAATCGGCATGCATCACCTCCATGCAAACCACATAAATGACATAACCAGAAATATACCCGATATGTAATTGCAATTGGTGTATCCTCAAGTAATTTTTCATGATTTAAGATTTTAGTAATATTATCATAACTTAATGCATCAGACTTTTTGGTTTGGCGTGGATATTTATCTTGAACAAGTTTTATTTTTCCATCTATAGTTGCATATAATCTAGAAAAAGTATTCTTATCATATATGTTAGATTTTGGATTTTGATATGAATTTCTTTGAAGATAACAGGCAAGTGCCAATAACAATTATGTATAGAGGTAGGTGCATAAGGTTGACAATCCTTCTTTTTTAGTGCAACAAAAAAGCCAATAAGAACTGATTCTAATTCAGTTTGATCCTCAATTTTTGTAATATCATCTGAAAGGTTTATGTTATTTAAATATTTATTCATAGTATTAAGTATTAACAACTTCTGAGTAATCAATAACATAATTAATATTATTTTGTAATGGTACTGTGAATCTAGTCTGTAATAAATTAATAATAAATGATGTAAAAAAATAATTAAGATATAAAAAAAATATTTGAATCTAATATGTATATCTTATTCACATTTTTACTATAAGTCTCATCTATACTTTCTTGTGAAGCCTCATCTGCACTTTCTTGAAATCTCATCTATACTTTTTTGAAAAGCCTCATCCATATTATCACTTTCATTATAAAATGAACTTGTATTACTAGGCCTTTCGAATGTATAATCAAGTTTTATATCAGACTCAACAGAACCAGGTTGATTATATTTGAATTTAAACATTTTTTTAGCCATAACAAATTGCAAACCAATATCCTATAAGTTTAGATAATTAATTCTCTTTTTCTTTTTGTTTTTTTTATTATAAATATTTGAAATAAACCTTCTCATTTTCCATTTTCAAAAATAAATCAAATTAAGGAAAGAAATCAAAAAATTCGCAAATTTTGAAAAAAATCGTATTTATAGTATTTATCTCTTATGTAATAAAAAGTTTATTTTATTAATTCGAAAACAAATGATTATGTGATAAAAGCAGTGATAGATAAAATTGAAAATAATGTAATAATGAACGTATAAAACAAAGAATAACTCATTTATTCCCCACATTGGGGGAATAATTTCAATATTTCCCACCAATCCATTGCATGGGCACGAAGCGCCCATGCAATGGATTGGGAAAATATTTCATTATTCCCCACTATCGCAGGGAATAAATAGTACTTATTCTCTTTATTATGTAGATGAAGAGCCTAATAATTGTATAAAAAAAGGTTAACTATATTGATATTTGTAAATATATCAATTATATAAAAAATTATATCTTTTGCCTACCTTTTTTCTAATATAATAGTTCATATTTTTGTCAACTTTAGTCCAATTGACTTTGTAAATGTTATTATGACCTGCAATTGTTTTTAGACAGGCTGATTTGTTAAACAATAATTTGTACCTGGGCATTAGCCACCAGTCACCTTTTGAAGTTTCGGTATATCTTTTAAAACAAAATATCCATCCTATGAGGTGCATTTGGTAATATAACACAATAAACCACCAAACCACCAAACTCTTTCCGGACCCTAATGGTGGTGGGCACGAAAGAGATGTGGAAAACTTGGTCTGAGTTATTAGGGCCAAATAGAGCTCTGGATTACATCACGAGGCTCTAATTCAATATCACGGGATTAGATTACTAATTTTATGCGGATTTGACTTATCAGAGTAATTGAGTGAAACGATAATGTTAAGATGATCGACTCTTAATGAGTCAACTCTAATGAGTTACAACAACTCTTCGTGAGTTATGTCAACACTGAGTTATATTTTATTGAGACATAAAAGGTTGTATTTATAGTTTTTACATTGCTACGACTAAATGACTAATTCGCTAATTCTCTTGTTCTAACAAGTTTCCTTCACTCAAAAAATCAAGAAAATTAAATAAATGAAATAAATTTGATTTATTTAATTTTCGAAATCTTTTTGACCTTCGATCCTACCAAAACAGGTATTAATCTCTGTGGGTTACTATTTTGGGTAAGTATTCTATTTTTAGTTACATTCGATCCGAGCCATCTCAGCATCGATTACGACATATAATAAACACGCCAACCTTCCGGCTAAATAATAGTTTTCAAGTCCCAATTTGCCCGTCACAACGTATATACTTCGTAAAATAAAATATTGCATATCTCTCCGTTCCTGGTACACCCATAAAAGGCTAAGACTGATCCGCAATTAAGTCTCCTTATCTCCAATAACAAAGCATATCAATTTTAAGCCATTATTTATGTACCCCTCCATACATGGTTGGAGTTAAATTGTTACATTGTCTATAAGTGTTTTTCCGTTCTCGCTTTCAACCGTTAAAACAGACAAAATTAACTGTCTAGCCAAAATACAACTTCAGCTAATATAAATAATTTCGACTGTAGAAATTATTTTCGGCAACTAAAATTTTTTTAGCAGCCAAAATTATTTTGCATTTAGGCATTTTGAAGTGATATGACGAAACATAAATGATATTGGAAAGTTGTAATGTCGTAATGGCGTAAATTATCCTGAATTTAGGCATCCATATACGCATAGTGCAGGACTCTTAGTGTGTATTAAACGCGACAATTCGCCACTTTATCCCTATTCGTCATTTTATCACCTTCTACCAACCGTATTTTCGCAAAATAACGCCAACCTGCGTGATATTTTGAGTTATTTAGAGTACGCACATGGGCGTACTTTTGAGACAAAAATAAAATTTCACAAACCTATCTGTTATATCAAATTATTTTTTGAACCACTAATGTGGAATGCGCGTCATTTCCGGACGCACATGAGTGTTGTTTTGAAACATGCAATCTTTAGGGGCACTATTTTTTAAATAACGCTCATGCCTGTTATTTCGCGAAATACGGTAATAGGTCGGTCTATCAAGCTATTTTGCATCTTAGTGAGATTTATTTCTTTTTGAAACGCAAGCCAAGAACAATATATGCAAATTTACGCCAATTAAACAATAAAATATTGAAATTTTCACATAGTAAGTGTGCTCTGTTCTTAAGCTGATTAAAAAACCAGAACAAAGAATATATGACCCAGCTTTGTCTGGGATCGACAGATATGCGTTATCGCAAATGATAAATTCTAACTATACATAGGTACAATAGGATAAATCTTTATGCACCATTATGCATATTTTTGAATTCTAAAATGCAATAGCAGCTGAAGATAAAGTTTAAAAGAAATCGACTGTCTAACAATTAAATTGACCTTTTATTTTTCCATAAACCGTGATTTAAATCCTCGTATATATAAGCGAATAAAATTTTTGATATTTGCCCATATAAACAATCCACGTAACGCAGCTACCATTGTGTGACCAAGTTATTATAATATGGAAAGTACAAAAGAAGGATGTATTAAAAATATCTTGTTAATCGGAAAAACTGGTTGTGGAAAATCCACATTAGCCAACGTATTAACGAATACATATGACTTTAAAGAAAGCTACAGTGCTAAAAGTGAAACTAAAAATGTACAAGCAGCGGAATTCAAACATGATGGAGTAAAATTTCGTGTAATTGATACGATAGGAATTGACGATACAGACTTGCCACAAGAACAAGTATTGTATCAAATATTACAAGGTGCAACTTACTATATCGAGAAAGGATTGGATTATATTTTTTTTGTATTCAATTCTTCTGTTAGGTTCAATAGAGAAGAGAAAAGGGTTTATGAATTATTCGAAGGAGAAACAATTTTTGGAGAAAGGTTAGGAGATTATGCAACTATAATAATGACTAGATATTCCAAATTCAAATCTCCTGAAAGATGCGAAGAATATAAACGGTCGTTGAATGACAATCAATTTGCATCGGAAATAGCCATAAAATGTGAAGATGTTATTTTTATTGACAATGATAGGCCTGAAGATAGAGAAGAATCAAGAAGGATATTGCTGAATTACTTGATAACTTGTAAAAAAGAAGATAGTTATAAACCAAATGGGTCGCTTGCTGATTTCTGTAAAATAGTTAATGTATTTGACTTGTTTATTGAAGAAATGAACGAAAAAATTAATAAGTTATTTGAAATCTTTAAAAGTTTAGAGAAAATGTTGCCAAATCTCGAAAACAATCGTAAAAAGACAATAGATTGTATTGAAACGAATAAGATGGAATTAAGCAAAGAGCTAATGAACCTAAGCAACAATAATGATAATAACATAATTTTAAGTGGATTAAGTACTACACTTCTTAGATATTCCGAACTCGGTTTTCTTGGAGCAGCTGCAAATACGGCCATATTAACTGCTATTGCTTCATCTCCTATGAGTTTGTTAATAGTAATAGCCCCAATGATTCCTTTATGGGTGAATAGCTTTTTATATATTCATAATGGCAATTTAGCCAATTCGAAAGAAAAAAAACTTCATAAGGAATTCAGTGATATTATGAATGAAGATTATGAAGGAATTAAGATGCTTATAGTTAATTTAAATGAGCTAAATAAAATTCATGAAGATATTAAAGATATTATCGAACGCTATAGAATCTCTCAATATAAAAAAGAAAAAATAGACAAAAATAAAATTGAAATATTCGACGAAATCATAACAGAAAACTTTGAAGTAAAAAAACTTAACCATAATGAAAAAGAATATGATTATTCTAATTTCAGTACCATAGAATATATTAAAGATGATTTTTTAGGATTTTTAGGATATATTATACCATTTTTTCCTCTTTCTGGTATTAGAGGATTAGTAGCGCTCTTTAACAAAAGTTTTAATTCTCAACAAGTAACAGAAGAAGAGGTTAGCAAAAAAACTTTTTGTAAAAAAACCTTTAGTGATATGGAAAATATCACAAAATCATTAGAAGAAGGATTGAGTTATATTAAAGAATTACGTTCAAATATAGACGATAAGATTGAAAAATGTAACAAAGCTAAAGAGGATATAGGAAGTATTTTAAAGCACCAAAAATTAGATAGTTTACAAGACCAAGATCAGAAATTGGATAGTTTACAAAGGCAAAAATTGAATAGTTTACAAGACCAAAAATTGGATAATTTGCAAAATCAAAATTTGGATAATTTACAAAATCAAAAATTTGATAATCTACAAGAAATGCAAAATTATCAATTCGATATTGAATTTGCCCCTTTTGACGAAGCGAAGCTAGCTTTATATAATGAATATAAAATATAAATCTGAACGATATTACAAATTCATTATATTGTTATATTATTATTATTATTTTAAAAAAAAACGCGAATTGGCGTATATTAACATATTATCAATTTGATATCTTCGATCATATACTTTTAATATCAATAAAATATATAATTTTATAAAAAAAAATAGAAATTGTTAAATATTTTAGTTTTCTTACTAATGCAATTAATTTTTGTTAGGTTTTTGCTATGGATTAGTATACTGAACAGTTGGTACGTATCAGCAAAGACTTTATTTCTGCTTATATAAATAGCAAAAGACTAGTCCAGTGAGTATTTTATGTCATATGAACAATTATAACAATAATTCAGGAAGTATGTGAATGGAGTTTGTGTTTGTGAGTATTAGTATCGATTGTTTAAGCTCAGGATTAGTAAGAGGAAAGATTGGTAATGTAAGTAAGGCTACTCCAATTTAATTTCTGTTTAACATAACATAAAAGTAGCTTATAACGGTGGGGGAGAGTATTAAAAAAATACAAATATAAAAAATATAATAATTCTATTGGCTGTAAAAGATGTAAAAATGCAAAAAGCTAATACTAATGTTGGCGGTAGAATTAATTTGGCAAATTAATACGGTTACGACATGTGCCGTATTATTTGCCGTAATTACTTTGTGCCGTAATGCCGCAATGTCGTAATGCCGCAATGCCGTAATGCCGTAATGTCGTAATTCCGTAATGTTGTAATGCCGTTATATTAAAATACCACAATGCTGTTGTATCTAAGCATTATAATGCTATTGAAGGATAACATTCCTCTAGTGTTTATTGTTTAAAGTAATCTTTAGATTTAAGATAACGCACAGTAAATTTACTGGTTT